GAGAGTTGAGGCCAGCCTGGGCTACACAGTGAGTTCAAGGCCAGCCTGAACTGCATAGCGAGACCTAGCCTCAAAAAAACAACAAAACAGGCCGGGAATATAGTTCAGTGGCACAGCGCCTGCCTGGCAAGCATCAGGTCCTGAGTTTGATTCCTGGGTACCCAAAAATCTCAACAAAACAGAAATGAAAATTAGATGCACAGGCCCCACTGTCCTTTCGCAGGAAAAGAAAGAACAACCGGAGCTGGCAGAGCACTGGCATACACAGGACCATCCCGCTGAAGTTCTACAACACCCACCCTGTGATGCAAGAATTTTCCCAAAGGTTGTAAGGGAAGACACAGCTTCCAGGAGGCTGACAGCTACACTCTGAGGTTCCTGATGAGCCACAAAAGAAAAGCACTCCCTGGGGAAGCAGAGAGAGGAAGGCAGAAGTCAAGCTCAGCAGGTCAGGAAGACCGGCAGGCTGCAAGAGAGAGCAATCGGAAAGGATCTTTCCATTTTGGTGGCGTGTGGTGGTGCACACCTGTGATCCCAGCACTCGGCAGGCTGAGGCAAAAGGATTGCCTCAAGTTTGAGGCCAGCCTGGGCTACATGGTGAGTTCAAGGCCACCCTGAATTGTACAGCAAGACCCGGTTTCAAAAAAATCTTTCATTTTGTTTGTTTGCTTTTTATTTTTGTTTTGGTTTTGGTTTTGGTTTTTTTGAGACAAGGTCTCACTATGTAGTTCAGGCTGGCCTCGAACTCATGGCGATCTTCCTGCCTCAGCCTCCTGAGTGCTGGAATTACAGGCATGTACCACAACTCCCAGCTGCTTTTTGTTTTGAGACAGGGTCTCTGCTACTTAGTTCAGGCAAGTGATCCTCCTGTTTCAGCCTCCCAAGGTCTGAAAGTATAGGCATGCATGACCTTTCAGTCATTATTGGACTTCTCTGAGCTTCCGTGTCCCCACCTGATGACAGGGGCTAACTGCAATTCCCAAATACTGATGACAAAGGTGATAACCCAGGTATGCAAGAGACTGAGGCAGGATAACTTAATGCAGGAATTTTTTTTTTTTTTAATTGTAGGAATTGTTTTGTTTTGTTTTGTTTTGTTTTGTTTTGTTTAGACAGAGTCTCACTGGGTACCCAAGGCTGGCCTCAAACTACAGCAATCCTCCTGCCTCAGCCTCCAGAATGCTGGGATTACAAGCATATACCACCATGCCTACTTAGACCAAGAAATTTGAGGTCAGTCTGGGCAAAAGAGCAAGTGCCCCATCACAAAAACAAAAAAGGAGGAGGAGAAAAAGAAGAAAAAAGAACACCAGGTATGGTAGCACACGCCTATAATCCCAGCACTCAGGAGGCTGAGGCAGGAGGACTGTTGCAAGTTCGAGACTAGCCTGGGCTACAAAGTGAGCTCAAAGCCAGCCTGAACTGCATAGCGAGACCCTGTCTCAAAAAGACAAAAAAAAAGAAGTACTGGGCTACATAGCAAATTCAAGATGAACCTGAACTCCTAATGAGTTCTCAGAAAAAAAAAGAGAACAAGGGGGAGGGAGAAAGCAAGGCATATGATGCATACCTGTAGTCCCAGCATTCAGAAGGCTGAGGCAGGAGGATAACCATGAGTAGTTCAAGGCCAGTTTGGGCTACACAGTGAGTTCAAGGTCACCCTGAAGGACAGAGCCAGACCTTGTCTCAAAAAGAAGAGCAAAAACCTGACAGGCAGTAGAATTTCAGAATCAATAGCTTTTACATTGTATAATGTGCTCTCTACAACCAAAGGTCTTCCATCCTGTAGTTCAACCAACCAGAGACTGGAAAAAAAAGTTTTATTTTGTTTTGTTTTTTTTAAAATTGTGTCTGTTCTGGCTAGGGATGATGGTATGCACCTGAAATTCCAGGACTTGGGAGGCTGAGGCAGTAAGATTGCCAAGAATTGGAGGTCAGCCTGGGCTGCACAGTGAGTTCAAGGCCCACTTGAACTAAATAGTGAGACTCTTTCTCAAAGACAACAAATAAATAAATAAATATTTAAAAGGGTTGTGGATGCAGCTCAATGTCAAGGCCCTGGGTTGAAGCCCCTCGAGTTGTGTGTATTTAACGATATACAGATTTTTTCCCTCATTATCCCCCTGTCAAGCGCATTTACATGGTATTAGGGTTCGTGAACACTTTCTGAGATGATCCCAAGCATACGGAAGAAGATGTGTGGGGGGAGGGGTTCTGTGCAAATCCTACATCATTTATATCAGAGACTTGAACAGATGCAGACTTTGCTATCAGCTCCTGGTCCTAGAACCAACCCCCAAAATCTCCCATGGATACTGAAGGATGGAGGGATGAAGAACAGATTTGGGGTGCAGTTGTTGGGATTTTTTGAGACAGGGTCTCACCATGTAACTGTTCAGGCTGGCATTGAACTCACTGTGTAGCCCAGGCTGGCCTCAAAGTCATAGTGGTCCTCTTGCCGCAGCCTCCCTGGGTGCTGGAATTACAGGCATGTGCCACCACGTCTGGTACAAATGTATTAATTAATTCTCAGGCCACTGGGCTAGGGGTATAGCTCAGTGGCACAAGTGCCTGCCTGGCAAGCACAAGTTCAGGCAAGTGATCCTCCTGAGTTCGATTCCCAGTACAAAAAAAAATTCTCAGGTCATCTACTTTCTTATTGTATATTTTTAGTAGTGGGAATCACACTGAGCTACATCTCCAGCCCATTTTTATGTTGAGGCTGGGTAGAGCTAATTGCTAAATTGGGCTTGAATTTGCAACCCTCCTGCCTCAGCCTTCCTGAGTGCTAGGATTACAAGCGTGGGCCACCATAACTGGACCCCAGCTCTTTTTTATATTTGTTTTAAGATAGAGTCTCACTAGGTTGCCCACCATGGTCTTGAACTTTCAGTCCTCCATCAGCCTCCTGAATAGCATGTATAACCAGCTCATGCCAATCTTATTTAGCTATTTTTAGCCCTATTTTATTTTATTTTATTTTGTCTTTCTGAGACAGAGTCTTGCTATACAGCTCAGGCTGGCCTTGAGCTCACTTTGTAGCCCAGGCTGGTCTCAAACTCACAATGATCCTCCTGCCTCAGCCTCCTGAGTGCTGGGATTACAGGCTTGCGCTACCACGCCTGGCCATTAACCCAATTTTAGAAACAAAAACTAAGATTCCAAAACGTTCAGGAACTTGTCCAAAATCATAAGCAAGTGAGTGGAAGGTGAACAAGCTGGCTCTGGGACATGGCCTGGTGGCCGGTCTACCACAGTGCGGATGTGGGCACAGACAGGGGATGGAGGGGCAGGTGCCTCCCAGGGGTGACACCAGGCCAGGCCGCAGGCTGCTCCGCCAGAGCAAAGGGCTCAGAGGCCAGGATGGGATGCAGCAGGCATCACACATCCCAGAGAGGGTTCTGTGCCACCAGCTGAGGCCATCTGATAGGGAAAAGCCCAGGGCCACACATGAAAGGCCGGGGAGCAGGAGGCTGCATGAGAGCCTCCGGGAGACCAGCAGCCGGGAAGCACACTGGGCGGCAGAAGGGACAGACAGCAAGGGCATGGGAGGCACCGCCTGGGTCCAACCTGTCCCAGGGCGCTCCCTCAGGCCCCCTGCCCTGGCACAGGGCTCTTCCCTCTCCCCACCCCCGGCTGATGCTTGTCACCTCCCACCCCCTCTGGCTGCATCCGCCTCCTCATCGGGCCTCAGCTCTGGGCACCTGTGCAGGAAGCCCTCCAACCTGTTCCGCACCGACCTCCGCCAGGCTCTGCATAACGTTTCCGAGCACCTGACCTAGCCCTGTGCTTTGAGTGGTTTATTTTTCATAGCACCAAGGGTTGAATCAAGGAGCGCTGAGTTATACCCCCAACGCTTTTTGCTTCTTTTTCCCCTCAGTCCTTTTTTGAGACAGGACCTCAATAAATTGTGAGAAGCTGAGATGACAGGGGTGGATCACCACCTCTGGTTCTTTTTATTGGGGTTTAGTGTCACCCTCTGCTGAAATGTCAGCTGTGTGACAGCAGGGGGCCGTGCCCATCTCATTATACAACAGCTGCCACACAGTAGATGGTGCCCAGGAAGGGGAAGTGATGGGAAACAAACAGAATCAATCGCAGGCGGCGGACAGCGGGGAAGCGGCACGTCCTCGCACGCACCGTCTGTCATGTCTGAGTGGTGCCCACCACCCAGGCAGGGGCAGAGGCGGGGACAAGAGGTTCCTGATGACAGAACACGCACGACTATCCAGGGAAAACGGTGAGAACAGGTGCAGAGGGGCGAGAGTGAGCCGGCACCCTGGTTGCGGGGGCGGGGGATCCGCGGGGACAGAAGCCCTGGGCGACAGCACTCACACTCACACCTGCACTCACACTCTCTCCTGCACTCGCGTTCACACCTGCTGTGGTGAGGAAACTCGCCTCCCCGAACTGCGGGACCTGCATGGAGGACTCACCCGCGGGACAGCATCTCCCCGGAGGGCTGGGAGTCCCTGGAGGGGGCGGGTCCAGGACCCGCACAGCTGAGCGGGTCTAGGAAGCAAGACCGCCGATCACAGCCACTTCCTCCTCCACCGCGGCCAGGCCGATGGCACGCGAGGCCGGGCCCTGGACTAATGGTCTCAGGGAGAGACAGGTGGGGCGGGGCTGGCCGGGCGCCCTCGCAGCCGCTGCCCCTGAAGTGCCCACACTGCCGTGGCACCCAGCTCCTCAGGGCAGGGAGGAGCCACCTGCAGCTCCACCTGGAGCTGGGCTGACAGCAGCGGCGGGCTGGGGAGGAGTGAAGACCAGGAAGTAACCGCGGCCAAGGACACGCCTGCCACCGGGCTCTCTCAGCGGGCAGCGTCCTCAGAGAAGGAGGTGCTGCCTGGGCAGACCCGCCCCGCAGACCGCAGGGCGCCCAGCCAGCGCTCACCTGCCCTGGGGGAGGACCGGAAGGGCCTGGACACGGGGAAGGGGCAACTTGGGAAGGCAGAGGGAGTCTGAGGCGAGAGGTAAGGCTTCAGAAGACCGACACAGGCTCAAGGACAGGCACATTTATTGTCCTCGGAAACACCTAGGCCTTCCTTTCCCTGGCAGTGGAGAGGAGACTCTCAGGAGGCAGCTACACTGCCACCGGAAGGAGGCCCATGGGGTGGCAGTGTCATGGGTGGCAAGAACAGTGCCTTCAGCTTGCCGGATAGGCTGGCGATCTCAGGATCCTGGGCTTCATAGGACTTGACCAAGCGGGCAAACTTAAGGACACCTGCAAGAGGGAGCGGAGAGTCACGCACACTCCGGAGACCAGGGTGCCAGGGAAGTGTCTGGCACGCAGTACAGGTACGGTGGCTCTCCCTGTGGCCAGGGAGTCAACCATGACCCTGGGACCTGCAGGATCAACAACTTCCGGTCCACAGTGGGCACAAAGGATGCGATTCAGGGAATTGAAATTACCTCGAACAATGTGCTTCTCTCTCTCCAGCACGTTAGCAGTTTGGTCACAAGACCCGGGAACATGCAGATCCCAGGCCTTCACACCCTGGGGAAATGCTGTGATCTCACCGAGAGAAAAAAATGCAACCTCCAACCCCTGAAGGTACTCCAGAAGCTGCGTCTGGGAGACAGCTGCCGCAGCTAGCAAAAGTGAGGTCCTGATCCCAAGCGCGAGAGAGCCCGAGTACGCACCAGAAAGAACAGTGATTAATGGGCACCGTAAGACGCATTCAGGACCCCTCCAGCAAAAGTTCAGGGTGGACGCTGGACTGGGGGTGCCAACAGTCAGATTGAGGCTGGCGCAGCGTGGCGGGAAAAAAAAGGATCATTGCTCAGGGACCGGCGACCCTGCACTTTCTCCCGGACTCCCGGATCTACTCCACCGCCACCCCAAGGCGGCCCCACCTTCGCCGTCGCAGCTGAAGCCGTAGGCTTTGATAACCTCCTGCTGGATCTGCGTGGCCACGGGCAGCACGAACTGCAGCATCTTGCCCATGTCGTTGCACGCATTGTCTCGAGCCTCGTCCATGCGGACCGCGTTCTCGGGGGCGGAGAACGCCTGGATCACCTCCGCCAGCACCACTGTGAGCCAGAGAGAGCCCAGAGAGGCGGCCAGGTGGGCGTCGGCGCAAGGCAAGCAGGCGCGGCAGACAGAAAAGCACAGGAAATTAATGAGCCGCGGCCGCGGGCAGCCTCCGAACCCCTCACTGGGAAGAGAAAGGCACGGCATCCCGCGCCCACCCCTCAGCCCCATGCACGGAGAGGCCGCTCACCCTTGGCCTGCTCGGCGCTCAGCGCCGCGGGGGACCCGGAAACCGACGCCATGCGGCGGCGAGGAGGGCGCGAGAAAACAGAGCGCGCCACTTGCAAGTGCGGTATAGGAACAGGCAGGGCGCAAGGGAAGCTACATCAGCCACAGCCGGAAGTCTTCCCGCGTCACCTTACGCTCTATACACAGGAGCTTAAACGTCACATGACAGCCGCACAGAAAAAGTGATAACTCGACAATAATGAACGTAGAACAATTCTTATATGAAACTGAAACGGGGGTTTTCCGGATAAACACCAGAAAACCTGCTAGACAAATTCTAAAAGAGCTGTAACACTTTCGGAAAGCTCGCTGGAGCGAGCTAGGGGTATCGGTTAACTCCACTTTTGGTGAGGGTGAGATCAGAGTGGCTCCCTTTTTTTTTTTTCTTCCTAACAGCTCTAATATATCAACAACAAAACACTCTATGCTATTCGTCAGGGGAAAACAGAACTCCAAAGAGCTGAGCGAAATCATTTATTTCTAAAGTTTCTCGAAGTCTGATATCTGCTATGCAAATGACTCTGATGCTGATTGGTTGGAAAGCCAACCAATCACAGTCCCTTATTTTTTTAAACCAGGAAGACAGTGGTTGGTAGTAATAAAAGCTCCAGGGTGAGCCCTTAGCCAGCGATCTGCTAAACTGGCCTAGACGCTTCCGTGCAGGACGTGGCACATGCTTGTAATCCCAGCATTCTGGGAAGCTGACGCAGGAGGATCGCAAATTGGAGCCCAGCCTGTCTGAAAGGGTCTGGGTTCAATCCTATGCCGAAGGCCAGATCGGAGAGGATAGGTGCTTAATTTCATCGGCCTGTTGAAGCCATGCTCAACTCCCCTGGCCTCCTACCCCACTGTCTCAAACTATTTTATAAGACTCAAGACTCTGAAGCCCTCCTTCCAGGGAACTCCAGTGGCACCTAGGAGGATGAGTGACAGGTTCACTTCCAAAGCGAGTGATTTGCTAGGCCTGGCCGTGCCCTCTGTGGGTTTCTCCCAGGGCTATAGGCTCTTGCCAGCCGGGTGAGGGAAGGACCAGCACATCCGAGGATCCGAAGCCATCGGGGTCTCCTGTCCCGTGTCAGGGACCACACCCAGCCCCTCAGGCCCCGTTAGCTTCTGTTTCCAGGCCTCATAAGACCCCCACTCCAGCCCCGTGGCCCACAAAGAACAAGTCACAGCCATCTTTCTGGGGAGTCGTGAGGGTGTTTTTGTTTGGTTGGTTTTGATTGGGATTTTTTTTAAAGAGCGTCATATAGATATTTATATATATAAATTATTAATGTGGGGTGGGACAAGGGCAGACATCGCAGAGGGGCGCGCACACAGGGGCCGGGCAGGGCAGGGGTGGCACACGATGCTACGCAAAACAGCCACATCTAACAGATGAGATCATCACACCAACGGGGCGGGGGCAACTGAAGGTCCGGCATCCGGGATGAGGGGAGCCGGGGACAAGAAAGAGGGACCTGGTCCGCGACGCTGTGGGCTTCTGTCCCTCCCCCCTCGCGCACACCCCCAGCCTTAGCCTTCTGTGCGTCCCTTTCTCCCTCCTCCCTCTGCCCAGCTGCAGAGCCCCTGCCACTGAGCAGCACCCTCTCCTCGTGCTGGGTGGTGGACGGGCCGGGAAAGGGTTCTCTCGGTCCGGGTGCAGGAGCCGTGAGAGCGCTTCTCTACAGCGGCTTGTCGCTTTCCTTCTTCAGGTGACTAGGGAGGGAAGAGGCAGAGACAGGACAGGCTGGGATGAGCCCGCACGGGTGAGGGTGAGGGTGAGGGCAGGCGAGCCGCGCAGGGTGAGTAGTAAGTACCTGTAGTAGTCCTCCTGGGCGGGGAGCGGCACGCTGTGCAGGGGGTGGTGGGCATGCAGCCACTGCTGCTGTTCCAGCGCCAAGCGCTGCAGCTCGGCCGACTGCGCGTGCATGGCCTGCAGCTGATGTGCTGCCGACATCGGAGCCGACAGGGAGGCTGGCAGGTCCCGGTAAGGGGCAGCTGCGAAGGGCAGGGGGCTCGTGACTGGTGGATACTGAGCACCCTGCCTGGGGGAGGAGACAGCCAGACACTTTACCCGCATAAGGCAGTGAGACTAAAAGGAAGGGAACCACATCCTGCAAGCTGCCAGTGACGGAGAGGAATTATGCCTGAGCCTCTCTGGGTTCCAATCCCAGCTCTTCCTCCCTTGAAATCCACGCCCCCCCCGTCCCTCCCACCACCCACATTCCCCCTTTCTGCCTTCTTCACAGCCTCCCTACCCTGACCTCCGTCCTTACCAAAGAGCTGGTGACGAAGAACTTCGTTCTCGTGCAGAGGGTGAGGAAGAAGCGGGTTAGGGAGGGTCCCGGCTGGGTAGGGGATCCGGGTAAGGTGAGAGCCTGAGGCCAGGGGGTCAATGAGAGGGTGCACCGAGGCAGAGGCTGAAGGGCAAAGAAGAGCACGTGTCACTAGAAGGTAGGGTTAGGGGAAGAGCATGCATCTGAGATCTGCGCCTGGGAAGAGACATAGACTGCCAAACACAAGAGAAACAAAGGCAGAACAGAAGCCTAGAGAGCTGAGTGACAGACAGAAGAGACACTCCTGGTAGTAGGGACCCAGGGACGACAGAGAGCAGCAGACCACAGCTGCTGGAGAAGTTTGAGAAAGAGGAAAGAAAAGCAAGCTACTTTCAGGAGGTAGATGACAGATGCATCAGAAATAAGAAAGAAGAGATGGGCAGGCAATAATAGGGCGACAGTCCCAGCACTGTGGGTGGGAGGCTGAGGCAGGCAATCTCAAATTCGAACCCAGGCTATTAAAGAAATTAAAATGGGCTGGGGATGTAGTTCAGTGTAAAGGATCTTGCTTAAATCTCCAATACGGGGCATGGGGGGGGGCGGGAGGGAGGGAGAAAGAAAGATGAAAGAAAAGAAAGAAAAGAGTGACAGGCTAGGCTTCCAGCCAAGGCCTCTGTCAGGAGATGCTGGACTATAGGGAGGGCTGTGAGGCTGGTCAAAGACCAGCGCAGCAATCTCAGCAGAGGTTCCTGCCACACCCGGGGAGGGATGTTCTGGCCCGAGGAACAGAGAAGCTGAGTCAGGCCCGGGGCAGAGCGGGGAGATGGCCCCAAAGGTCACAGCAAGGAAGTGGCAGCTCACCTGCATGGATGGCATCCTGCTGGTGCAGGTGCAGGTGTGAGTGGATGTGGGAGTGCTGGTGGTGATGCGGGGTCACGTTGAGCATCTGCAGCCGGGCCAGCGGGTCATTGCCCAGGGCTGCCACTCTTTCTGCATGCTGCCTCTCTGCTGCCAGCCGCTCAGCATAGGACATATCAGGCCGCAGGGCTGGCCCAGCTGCCAGCGCTAGACGCTCTCGCTCCAGGGGCCCCAGGCTCGGGTGAAAGGGGAAAGGGTGCAGGCCAGGCGGGCCAGGCTGCAGAGCCAGGCCCCCATGTCGGGGAAAGGGATCCAGGCCTGGCCCAGGGACCCCATGCAGGGGTTCCAGCTCACTAGGCTTCACCTCAAAGCCAGGTTTGAGACGGTCACGGAGGTCTCGTTCACGGGCTTCGCGTTCCCTCTCCCGGGCCGCGGGGTCACTGCTGTACAGGGCTGGGTAACCCAGGAGCCCCGGGTCCACTGCCCCCAGGGGCACATAAAAAGGATGGTTGCGATTGCCTGGAGACATGACGTGAGGTCGCGCGTATTCACTGAGAGTGCGCAGGGCTGGAGTATCAGGACCCAAGTAAGGGGGCACTGTGGCCACAGCACTGCCAGGCTCAAAAGGGGGGCGATGGGGCACTGGGCCCAAAGATGTGCACTCCACTGGGGCACGACCCTCCTGTGCCAACTTCTGCAAGGTACAGAGGTGGAGTTAAAGCTGCAGTTATAGGAACGTTGCCTGTTCCTAAAAGGAACTTCCCTGCCCCTTTTCCCTGTATTTTCCCCTTCCTGCGACCCACAGGTATCCGCCCCCTCCCCCCAGCAAGCCCTCCCCCCGCCTCCCTCCCCGCCCTGCTTGTCTTCCTTCTTCCAAGCTGCAGTGGTTCCTCCTCTCCAACAGGAGGCGAAGTGACTTCCGCTCCTACCAGAAGCCCCGCCGCGCCGGCAAAGGAGCAGGGAAGAAGGCGGCGGGCGCCTCCTGACGCACTCACCACGCTGCGCTCCAACTCGCGCTCCTTCTCGCGCTCGCGCTCCTTCTCGCGCTCCCGCTCCCGCTCGCGCTCCTTTTCTTCGCGCGCGCGCTGCTCGGCCTCGCGGCGCACCTTCTCCACGAGGTCGGCCCGCTTCTTGGCCAGCTTGGAGCCCTCCAGCGGCACGAAGTACAAGTCGCTCCGCGCGCACGAGTTGAACCCGCGGTCCAGGTGTTTGTTGAACCTGCCGGGCGTGGAGGCAGCGCGCTCAGCCCCTCGGGCTGCCTCCGCCCGGGGGCGCGCGGGCCAGGGGACCCTGCCTGGTGCCCTTCTAAAAACAACAAGAGCCGGGGTGGCGGCGCACACGTACGATCCCTGCACTCTGGGAGGCCGCGACAACCGCAAATTCAAGCCCAGCCCGGGGTGCTTCGAGAGACCCTGGCTCAAAATAAAGGACCGGGGACACAGCCCACCGTGAAGGCCCCGGTGTCAGTGGCCAGTACGGCGCGACAAAAGGCCTCACCCCTCCCGCACCCACGCTCACCTGGCCGACTGGCTGGCGTGGCTGGGCACGTCCACCACCTTGGGAGGGGGCGAGGGGCTGCGGGCCGGGGGCACCGGGCTCTCGGGGGCCTCGTACTCCTCGGCCGGCTCCTGCTTGATCTGCGTGGCGCTCAGGGGTGGCCCCGAGGCAGGGGCCGCGGCTGGCGGCGGCAGGGAGGACAGGCTCGAGGGCCCCGGGGGCGGCAGAGGTCCGGGGCCCACGGTGGGCGAGCCCGGCTTGAAGGTTCCCGGGCCTGCAGGCGGGGAGGCGCCCCGATAGCCCGGCGGGGTCCCCGTTCTGAAGGAGGGCGGTGAGCCCGGCTTGTACCCGGGAGGGGTGGCGGTCTTGTAGGTCCCGGGGGATGGGGATTGGGCTCTTTTAACGTAGGGTGGGGGCCCAGGTGGGGAGGCTGTTTTGTAGCCTGCTGGCGAGGAAGCCACGGTGGCGATGACCGTGGAAAGGGTGGCCGAGGAAGTGGTGACCGGAGGCACCGGGGGAAAGGGGTAGGGCGCCGCTTGGGGACCCTGGGAAGGGGAGGGGTGAGAGCACGGATAGGACCCTTGAGAGGAGGAAGAGGAGGAGTTGGAAGAGGAGACTGGGGGACCACTGGGGCCTGGCTGGCTATA